GCCTTCATCGCGTTTACCCAGAATGCACATCAAGTTTATGCGCTGAGGGTATTGCTTGGGTTGTTCGAGAGCAGTGCATGGCCAGGGATGATGACTCTCTTCAGTGAGTGTGAACTATTCCGTGTGGGCAGAGATATTGTGACTGATAAGAGCTGCAGTGTACTGGTATACGCCGATGGAGCTTGCCAAACGGATGGGGTTTTATCATTCTTGTCAGGCACTTGGATCAATGATGTCGGGAGCGCTACAGGTGGCCATCTTGGAGACATTAGAAGGCACATGGGGCCTCAGGGGATGGCGGTCAGTTTTATTACTGATACTAATGAGTGAAGTATGCAAAGCTGACAGGTCAAAGGTGGCTCTTCATCATCAACGGCATCATGACTCTGGCCGTTGGATTCGTGGGCTTCTTCATGATTCCCGACTATCCGAAGCTGCCAAACCCGAGAGCATTCTGGCTCACCGCCGACCACGCTGTGATGGCTACCGAGCGACTGGACCGTCATGGCAGGTCTGACACCAAGCGCATCACTTGGGCCAGTGCGAAGCGGACCTTCTCAATGTGGATCGCCTATTTCATTCCTGCGCTGTACATCGCCACTGTTCTGGCTCCCTATGGCTATAACTACTTCAACCTTTTTCTCAAGAGCCTAAGGAACCCTGATGGAACCCCGACATGGACAACTGAGGAGGTGAACGCTATCCCCATCGCGGGGGAGCGATCAATGTCGTCTGTGGTGAGTGTCTTGAGTCTGCGCCGTGTTCATGACTGTCATGCTGACTGCAGGTCAGTTTGGATATGGGCAATTCTCTCTGACGTGTTTCAAACAAGATGGACTCTTGTGATCGCCCAAGCTGTTATCGGACTAATCCCTAGCACAATTATGAGTGCGTGGACCTCAAACCCCGACACAACACCATTGTCGTCGGCGTACGCTAGCTACCTGATGACTTATCTCAGTCTGGGAACAGCACCGTTGGTCATGTCCTGGCTCTCTGAACTGTGAGTGTCATTGGACCCAGTCGAGGCGAGGTCGGGTACTGATAAGCAGCAGGCTCCCACAGGACTCTGAAGCCCGCACCTGGATCATCGGATATTCTATTGCCGGGGTTTATGCAGTGTTATCCTGGTCTCAGGTGCTTATTTGGCCTGCTTCGCAGGCGCCATATTGTATGTGTTATGTTACTGTCCCTCAGTCGCGTTGAACCCAGCACTAACACCCGTCATGTAGATGCATTCGCCTGGCAGCTTTCAATCTTCTTTTGGGTGCTGGTCATCGCCATGTGCGTCGGTCTGCGAGTCGCGGAAAAGAGATTCTTGAGGTAAGCCTACCTAGGTTGAACGGGCATCGACCGTCGATTGGCTGCTAATCTTCAGATCATTATCAGACCCAAGTCACAAGCCCCTTTGTTAGGGGAGGACGACGGCTTAGCCGCTTATTATAGGGACAGCCCACCAAGCTAAAGTACCTTAGTGGGTCGTCAACCAGAGATATGGTCTTGACAGCCTAGAATTCAACCCCTCGACAATCTTTCCCTTATCAGACTCAACTGCAGAAATGATGCAGAACCGAGCCGCACCCTCCGAACATACCCACCCCGAAGCAGCAGCCACAAGACCTGGCAAGACTGCCGAGATATCCATGCTTCACTTATAAATAGCAGATTGTCGCCCTCTGCTGCAACTTGAAGTCGAGATAAGCTCTTTGCCATTACATCGACACGTCAACTACCGTGAACCAACGGCTGCCACCAACATCCGGGAGGCTTGCCGAGACTGGGAGTACCAGGTCCTGTGATTTCATCTCTCCAGGGGTGCGAAATACCAAACAGGGACAAAGGTCCATGTGGCGATGTCACCGTAATTCTCCCTAAACAGTCCGAAGATCAACAAGAGTCACCAATCCGTTGGATTTCACTGTGCAATGAAGATGAAGTCGGAAGTGGGGTCTAAGCAAGTTTCATTTGAGTTTATATTGCATCTCAACCTGCTTCTCCAATAGGCGCGGCACGCCCAATAGAACTGGCTGGACGCGGGCCATGACAGGACAGCGAGTTTAACCACAACGGGATTTATCCACACAAGATTGACTTCAATATGCGGCAGTTTGATCCGGGACGGTACTTGAATCTATCTCTCACGGAGTTCGGCAACGTCTGTGGACACACGGGCTGAGAATGGACGGAATGGGTATAAGTCAACGATCATCCATGGCGAACTTGACGTATGGATCTCCTCTTTGCTTGTCTCTGCAAAGCTCCGGTTCTTGCTCTTACCTAGCTAAAGGCAGTTTTTGACATCTTGCAAGCGAGGATGAAGTCGTCCCTCCTGGCCACGGCGGCCGCTCTTTGGGTGCGCCATGTCTCTGGTCAAGCAGCCATGATGCGCTTCCAGTGCTCTCAGCTCGTCATTGAGCGCCTCGATCCCCTTGTCAACCCCGGTGTTTTGCAATCCCCTCATTTGCATCAGATCGTGGGAGGTAACTCCTTCAACGCGAGCATGCCCCCGGTCGAGCACGATCCTTCCACGCAGTCGACATGCACCACCTGCTCCTTCTCCGAGGACTTTTCCAACTACTGGACGGCCAATGTGTACTTCAAGGCCAAGAACGGCAGCTTCAAGCGGGTGCCGCAGATGGTCAACCTCGGACTCAGGGGCAAGGGCGGTGTCACCGTCTATTATATCCCGCCATATGATGGCAAGACTAAGGTTACTGCCTTCAAGCCTGTGAGTATCACCGCTGGCTGGGATGTACGGAAAGAGATGCTTACCATCAAGTCAGGGCTTCCGCATGCTCGTCGGCGACCCCAACCTCCGTAACCAGCGCGGCATGCAGAAGCAGATCTGCCACCGCTGCGAGCACAATATCGAGCAGAACCCCTTCGGTGGTGCGCCCTGCACGGGTGAGGACACTGCCTCGTTCCCCAACAAGATTTGCCCCGGTGGTATCCGGACTACCATCACCTTCCCTACGTGAGTCCCATCTCAATTGTTTTCATACGGTAATCATGGGTTATGCTAACAAGAAAACTAGATGCTGGGACGGAAAGAACGTCGACAGCCCCGATCACAAATCCCACGTTGCCTACCCCCAGACTGGTTCCTTCGAGTCCACCGGCCCATGCCCTGCTAGCCATCCCGTCCGCTTGCCGCAACTAATGTACGAAGTCATGTGGGATACCAGACCGTTCAATGACAAGAGCATTTGGCCTGAGAATGGACAGCCTTTGGTGTACTCGATGGGTGATGGGTAGGTTTGGTCCTCTACCTTAGTCTTTCTTTACAATGTCGGGGAAAGTAAGGCTAACTCAAGTTTTAAAGAACTGGCTACGGTCAACACGGTGACTACGTCTTTGGCTGGAAGGGCGATGCCCTGCAGCGTGCACTTGATGCCAGGTGCAGCGGTGACAGGTGCAGTCAGCTCAAGACTCAGAGTGCCGAGCAGGCGGTTGCTTGCTTGAAGAAGCAGACCATTGCCGAAGAGACCGAGGGCTGTAAGGATTCCTGTTCTTCTTCTCCCAAACAATACCAGAACCAATACTGACGTGTCATTTTACAGGGCTTTCGGAGCTGCCTGGTGGTCTGCCTGTCACTTACAAGTAATCGTGCAATATTTGTGCTTGTGAGGGATGGAGTTGCCGGAGTGGCTGTTATTCGTGGACATGCTTGTACGACAGAGATTGCGACGGACGAAGACTAAAGACTGAATACTTCCTGCCTACTTACTTTGTCAATATCACTATTTCCCCCAATTTCAAGTCATCTGCTTCATGTGTTAGGGGTGCGATATTCCTCCGCGCTTATTATTGGACATTAGGCAGCTATCAAGATGCCTCGTCAGTCCGCCTGTACCCACAATGTCTGCCTAACTGCTGTACGCACAGCATGTTTCGTCACCGCTATTGACGTGGCATATTTCCAACAACTTGGTTCCCCGAAGAGCCTCATTTCCAGGCTGGAAGTCAACGAATAAGAGTGGATACCTATCGACATTTTACCATTCACCAAGACCTCATCACCGCATCTACCTTACCTGGTACTCGGCCAACACTTGCATCTCATCACAACATCAATACCTTACATCACCCAACCCACTATAATGGAAGAATACTCCCGCCCTCTCTCAACCTACCTCCCCAACCACCCGTCCATCACCGGCGGTCTAGTCGTCTCGGCAGTCATCATCCATTCCTCCCCCAACAATCACGGCCCCCCACGAACACTGATAATCCAGCGCGCACTCAAAGACGGCTTCCCCCTCAAGTGGGAAACCCCCGGCGGCGGGGTAGAGGATTTTGACAAGTCTATCATCTCTGCCGCGGTGAGGGAAGTAAAGGAGGAGACTGGGTTGGTTGTCGACCCCGAGACGGAGATCTTGGGGCCGGTGGGCGGGTTGGCGGAGTGGATTGAGCCCAAGACTGGGCTGGTGTGGAGGAAGGTGATGTTTTTGGTGAGGTTAACTGGGGAGGAGGTGCCGGTGGTGAGGTTGGAGGAGAGGGAGCATCGGGATTATAGGTGGGTTACTGAGGCGGAGGTGGAGGTGGAGGATGGGGAGGGGAGGGGGATTGAGTTTGCTTATGGGGAGTTGAGGAAGGGGGTTTTGGAGGGGTTTGGGAGGGTGAGGGAGTTGGTCCGGTGAGGGACTCAGTTGGTCCAGGAGGGGAGGGGGTTGGAGGGGTTGAGTAATCGTGTTCAGTACCTGTACCTTAGGTAGTGTGATGTTCAAAACATTGTCTCATCCTCTCTTTGGTGGTATCTCGTCGCTCGACATTTTCCCCAATGGGACAAAGAAAAACTCAGGATGTTGACTTTCCCCTTTTTTTTCGCAGTACAGACTCCACATCTCCGGGCCAAGAACTGTTGACACAGAAACAACCACCGAGACCCTCACCATCTCCACCACTCTTTCCGCACTGGCCTGGAGTCTCCATATGAGGCATTTTCCTTGCCTCGCTTCCAACGAGATCCACAGCCTACAACAGGTGCCCACACCTGCAAATCTTCCGTAGTATAGTGGTCAGTATGTGAGCTTGTCATTCAATCCGACATCGCTCGAGACCCGGGTTCAATTCCCGGCGGGAGAGATATACTTTTGCATCATTTCGGTGCAACATCTTTTTGCATGTCTCATTACGTGTTTTTTGTGTGACATGGGACGGCGGTGCAAGTCCAGCGGTGTGGTCCGGTCGGTGTGCGGTGACTGTCTCACCGAAAAGCAGAAGAAAAAGACGTTGATCACCAGCGGCCCGGTCCGAGACTTCCTCCGAGCATCGTTCGTCTTTGGTCAACAGCTGTTGTTCGAGTGGTTGACTTGTGCGTGCGTCATCAGATGTTCCGCGTCACCCCCAACTCCAATTTCCGTTGGGCGGAAGGGTTTCGGAGAAGGGCGGTATGGTCTCGCGGGGCTGGCCAAGAAGAAAAGAGTTTGCGCCTTCGCTGAGACAAGAGAGAGGCAAGGGGTTAAGGGACTGTGCGGGCAGAGGTTGAGATAGACCTTTTATTTTATTTTGCTAGGCAATGGAATGGAGGGGCTGGAACATCGTTGGTATAACCCTTACCCAGGGTGCTCACAGGAATGAAGGGTCCAAAGGGACAAAAGATGAATTGCGGCGAGCTCAACATTGCCAGGAACGAAGGGGCTGCTCAGGCTGTGTATGGTGCAAGATGAGTTGTCACTGGAAGAAGAGGGCAATTATTTGTCTTCTCAGGTGTGCAAAACGCCATGTGGCGGCCAGGTTTCGCAGCCATTTCCTCTTTTGGGGAGGGCTGGCTGCCTCTCAGCTGCCGCCTGAGAGAGCGCTAGTGTACAGCAAAGTAGGGCTGAGTGATGTTAGTGGCTCGGTGGTGTCCCAGCGCTTGGTAGCTGTGCGCCAAGCTAATTCTTGGCGGATAGCGATGCTGATCTACGAGTATATACTTGGGAGAGCGCCCTCATCTTTTCGGGTCTTTAGTCTGAAGCCACCAGGATCCAGGGACTTGGCCAGATAACTGCCAGACCAACACCATGCCCCAATCAACAACGCTCACTGTCAGGCAACAGCAGCCATGGCATGAATCACCTTGGACTCCTTCCAAGTCCCCCACGGGTCTCCACTATCACGTCCCCAAACCCATCCCAGAGCCCTTCGTGAGAATGGGATGGCAGCCAAAGACCAGAGTTCCTCGCCTTCAGAACTGTCGAGAGGTCATCAAGCCAAGTCAGAGCAGCACGGTTCCCACGCCATCAATATGGGTACATACTCCACGCTGCCGTTGTGCCCAAGACAAATTAGACCGTGAGCGTCAAGATGAAGCCCTCGCCAACACCATTACCACCCTCTCCACCACCTACCGCGCCCGCCTCAAGCTTGAAGCCGAGATTTCCATTTCTCTTCCAAAATCCAAGAAGGTACCACACAAGCGCTCCCGGTCATCAGTCCTCATCACCCGCCTCCTGTCCTCGTTGTCCCCGTCCAACCTCGGGGGGAAGCAATCCCACCACCCCAACATCATCTCCATCCAGCACCTCGCCGACCTTTGCAACGGCTGCTCAGAACTCGATGCCCCAAAAGTGATCACCTACCTCCACGACCACAAAATCCCAGTCAACACCCCCAACCACCTCGGGCTCACCCCATTAATCTGCGCCCTCCGTTCCCCCTTGGCGAAATCTCTTCCAAGATCTCACCTCGCTTTCTTGAAATTCCTTCTGGAAAGCGGCGCCAACCCCAACCTCCCCTCCACCGGGCCGTCGGATCCATCAACGCCATTAAGCGTAGCTTGCTCCCTCCACTCTTTACCCTCGGAGCACATCGAGGCGATCCTCAAGTTGCTCCTGGACAAGGGAGCAGCGGTTGACCTGCCCATCCCCTCTTTGGGGTCATCAGGAGGAGGAGGGAAAATAAACAGGCAAACTGCCCTTCACATCGCCACCTTGTGCTCCAACCCAATTGCCTTGTCCTCTTTGCTAGGGTACGGGAATGCAAACCCCAATCCATCATCGTTACTAGGTACCAACGGGTTGTCCGTCAGCCCGCTGCATCTGGCTGCTCATACCGATACCGTTTGTGCTGGGGTTTTGTTGAAACACGGGGCCGACCCCCTAGCGAGGGATCAACAGGGTAAAACACCGCTTCATTGGGCGGCGGAGTACGGGTATGATGTTGGGTTGGTGGAACTGCTGATGGGGTACATGAAAGACGACGAGAAAAAGGTGGAGGTGGTCTGGGATGTGCTGAGGAGGGTGGTGAAGCATCTCGAGAATGGGCACGGGAGGAGGGGGCATGTGGCTGTTGTTCGAGCTTTGCTTTTGCAGGGAGGGGGTTCAAAGGGGACGAGGAGGGTAAGCAGGAGTATAAGAGAGAGGTTGGAGAGGTTGGATGAGGAGTGGGGGTGGGGACCGGTGTTCGAGGCGATGATTCAGGAGTGTTTGTCTCCGGCGGCGTTGACGAGGAATAATTCGTTGTCGTCGGGGTTGAGCGGGGAGACGGCCGTGGATGAGAAAAAGGGGGAGCAGGTGGTGGCCGTGAGGGAGGAGTGCGATGTGCTTACACCGAACTGAGACAGGCCTGGGGACGTGGAGGGGGTGGTTGAAAGGAGTGAAATATTTATCCGACGAATGTGAATGAACGGATTTATCTACCTAAGGTACCTCATGTTTACTTTCTTTTTGAGTTGTTCATCATGTCCAGTTGGGTGAGGGCGTTTTGCATGTGGATGGGTGTTTGGCGGTTTGGGGTCTGGTGGGAATTGGAGATGATCACATGCATGATACGTAAGGTACCTAGGTAACTTATTCTTCTTACCAGAATACATATCCCTTTTGTGTTAGAATGATACCTTATTGTCAACGATATGTGTTTGCTGGTCACATCTCACTTGCTGAATAACTACCTGTCTTTTTGACTGACTTGCATCATACAAATAGGCAGTTATTAACACACATGAACCTGCATCAGAGAGCAGCTCAGCGCCGGAGCTGTCCTTCCGACCATCCGTACCATCATCTCACGGCCGGAAAAACATCGCTACAATGCAGGTGATCATGCGGGCGTCAAGTGGTGGTAGGTTCGTTGCAGCATGCCAGCAAGGATGATGAGGTAAGCCCCTAGATATCCTGACCGCTACTTGTAGCAGAAGTCAGAAAAGAGTGTAGCAGAAAGGATATCGTATGTTTGGTAAAGCAAATCGGAGCCGATGGCGAGGAGCGCAGTTTCAAGCTTTTGTTGGCTCATGTGTTATGATTCTGACGTATTGAAGCGATTTGCCAAGGTACAAGGTTGTTGGTCTTGCTCGGTATCGGGCCTTGGAGTACCTACCTTATGTGATGTAACTCTCAATCCTATATTCAGGGAGGTACGTGCGGCAGTTTATGGAGCTGTGGTAATAGTCGGCTTATTCTCGTAAGGATCGAGAAGCATTCACTGATCTTATGCCAGAGATGTTCACCGAACGCCTCGGTAATGCCAGCATCACATTTTTCCTGTACTTGGAAAACTTAGACAAAGCCCGTCATATTGATGGTATGCCAGCGCCGCAGAGATGCGGCAGTATGCATGCTCGCGGGGCCCCGTTCCGGACCAATCGGCAGCTCCGAGCTATAGAAAGCAAACGATGGTTCGCAGCACTTGTGCTCGAGACAAAACTGCACATCGCAGTTCGGGGTAGCACCGAGGAGATGCTGCCCCTACAAGAAGGTAAAGACGGAGGGTATGACACTGCAAAACAGCCAAGGAGATGCCAGGAGAGTCATCAATACCCCCCCACGTTGCGATGCCATAAAGAATCCGAGCCAAACATTGATCCAAGTGAGAGATGGATGGTCATGGAAGTGAAAAAAACATAATGAAGTCAACGAGCGTGGTCACCTCCGAAAGAGAAAAACCAAATAGAACCGACAACTCCTCTTCGCCATGCTCAAATATGGGCATTGATGCCTTGATGTCGTCAACTAGTGGTCGTGCTCACCATCACCGGAGTCTTCATTCGGGGCAGGAGTGCGGCAGTAGCCGCATTGCCGTCCCGGGATGACCCAGACTTCATTGCCGTTCTCGGCGCAAGTCTGACAGCGAACACCGGGGAGCTGACACTGTGTTACCTAGCTGAGCTTTAAACTGTTTGTTGTCCAGTGTTACTTACTGGCAAAGTCCTGATGCCTTCCCCTTGAGATCCAAGAGGCCCAAGGCCAAGACCAAACTCTCGGTCAGAAAGGAGAGGTGAGTAGAGAGGGGGCAACATGATGAGCCAAGTGTGTTGGTGGTTGCTGAATGGTTGGACTGAGATTTGGGGTCTGACGTGAGAAAGTAGGTGATCGGGTGGCAGTTAGAAGAAGTCTTTGGTGTTTGTTACACAAGAACGACGAAAACCTGCACTTGTCAAGATGGGCTTCGTCTTCATTCTTATAGACATCTGGAAGACCGGACAGACCATTCTTCTCAGGTTCTCGTCTGCCCTTGGTCCGAAAGAAGAAAAAGGATCGGACATTTGCCAGGAGTCTAGACACCGAACCGCAGAGCTGAGGGCCGGTTCAGAGCCATCATGACAGCTGCGTTGGTTGGGCTCTGGTCGCTCTCCGGTCCGCCATTGGAGGATTCGGCTGTGTGGGTGGGTGGGCAGACAGGAAACCGGCAGCCAAGCTCCATCTGGGGCCGCGGAATGGCGAGATAGAGCTCTCTTGCGTGCCTCAATGAGGTCTGTGCCATCGGCAGTGGGTGAGATAAGACATGTTCTCAGAGCAAAACATGACGATGGTTGACGATGTCTCTCGCCGGCTTGCGGTAATAAATGGCCAGGTGTGTCAAGCGTCCTATCAACTATCACGATGAGTGTCCATCGAAACATGCAGAGGCTCCACACCGGTGAAGACTTGCATCTCGATGAGAAAGAAAAGAGTAAAGCATGAGGTGGTCCGGTGGGGGTGGAAGACGGTAGATTCCAATGAATTGCGTCCGGGTTGCCCTTCTGGTGAGATGCCACGCTGCACGCTGCACCATCACAGCAAATCCATGGTCGATTGGGCCGTCGGTACTTGAGCACCCCAGGCCAGGGCTGTCACTTTTCGCACCTCTGTCACTTCCGTCACATCTCCCGCCCTCTAACATCCCCT